GGTAAAGTGTGATGAAGGCCAAGAGCTTAGCGTACTAGGCCGAAGGAGTTATCGGGTATGCCGAGAGGGTGGCTGCACGCTCGACCCACTACCCCTAGGTGAGAGTGAGGTTTGAGTTAGTAAAAAATTTCTTAACTCTTGACATTTCTTGTTGAGGTTGCAAGAGTACTTCAGCTAGGCATCACCCTTGACTATCTTGATAATTCTAACACTTGAATTTTTTGTTGACATTTCAGGAGTATTTCTCTACATGGTACACTTGATTTTGCTACCAAGAAAGTCTACCGGCCTCTCTGACCACTTGGTGAGCTTTCAGTACTTAGCTTTTCATGTTTCGAGTATCATGTCTCCATGCTTAGTAATTGTTTGCTATTTTTTCCTTTGTATGCTTGATTGTCCCTCGGATGCGCTTTTGATGATGTTAGGCTTAGAGGTACGCTTGTTGTATTTTTGTATGTACATTGAGAATTCCTCGGGGTAGTCTTGAGTTGAGCTATGCATGTATCATGAATGACCAAGCGACTCAAGATTACCTTGACTCTCTCCCCGGTCCTTCATCTTATGATTTGTCTAAGGAAATTTGGGCGGAGGGAGTACTTGTAACAAATGTAATTGGTAGTAGTGTTGATTCTTCTGTTCCTTTGGGTGTGCCTTTTCCATGTGTGCCATCCCCACCCCCTGAACATGATTTAGGCTTTTATTATTTTTTGCCTCCTTCCCCTTGGGAAGTTTCTCTTGCACGTGAACCGACTTCTAGAGGTTCTTTGAACAGATTGCATATTGACGGAGTGGTGACAATGTCAAGTGAGGATGATACTTCTGCTTCTCTTGGGGCGCCGGTGACTTTTAAACCACCAGTTAGGAGAGTTAGCCCTTCTATGTGTCACCCTTCCACTACTTGGCTTAGATCTTTATCTAAGGGTACTAGACATTTGCAAACAAAGTACCATATAAGGGAGCCTTTTCTCATTTCCCCTCCTGAGGGTGATAGCACCGTAGATAACCCCCCCTGGGTGTATAGCTGTATATAGCAATGCTTGGACAACGGGTTGAGATTTCCGCTACACCCTTTTATTGAGGAGTTGTTGATTAAGTATAACCTTTGTGTAACCCAGCTTGTTCCTAACTCCTGGTTGACGATAAACGCGTACATAGCCACTTGTAGTCTACTTGGAGCCCTTTGCACCATGACTGCCTTTAGGAACACACATAGGCTCCAGGAGGCCCTAGGTAATGTGGATAGCCATGGGTGGTATGATTTTCACGATAGGGAGTTTTATCTTACTATAAACACTAAGCCCACGAGTTAGAAGGGCTTTCGCCACAACTTTCTCTTCATTTACCATGCTGGGGGTTGGAGGGTTCCCCGAGACTATAGCGGTGTGCCTAGGGTTGGCTTGAACTACAATGTTCTTGCCATGGAAGTCGATGAGGCGTGACAGTTGTTTGGTTGCAATCATATAAGGAAAGAGGATCCAAAGAGAAGCTTCCAACCATGTGGATTTTGAAGGATAGACATTTTCAGAAAGAGCGGTTTTTGAGTGTGGTGGGCTTGAGCCACACCTATGATAGTGGTAGGATTTATTTTTGTTTACTTATGTTTTTCACTTTTATGATTTCTCCTGGGCCTTTGTTGTTCACTAACAAACTTGTGCAAATGATGATTTCAGGTGTTGCTTTCAAGCAGTTGACAAAGAGATTTCAAAAGAAAATGTCGGAGGTGAACTTTCGAGCTGGAAAGGTCAAGGTCTCCATGAGGAAAGGAAACATGAGCATTCCTCCCCCTCCCCAGGTATGCCGACTTCTCTGAGGTTGTTTTTCATGAAATGTTGCTTTTTTGCTAACTTCACTTGTGATTTGTTTTTTTAGAACCCGAAGAACTCAAAGTTGAGGAGGAAAACTGCTGAGAGGGGATAAGGATCCTCCCAAGCCACCACCCACATGGAGATAGATGATTAAGGGTCTCAGCTTGTCTCCCCGGCCGCCTCCACTCACATCAAGCTTCTGGAGGCCGAGGGCTTTGGGGATCGAGGAAAGCAGACTCGGGTAGAGGAGAGCGAGGAGGAAGGTGGAGAAGATTGCGAAGACATGACTCCTTACTTTCCTGACTCTCTCCTCGGCATCACAAAGAGGGGCCGGAAGAAGACGGTAAAGCAAACAATGGTCCGCTTCCCCACGGCAAAGGATATTGAGGTGGTGAAGAAGGATCCCACCAAGGCTATTTCTTTGGCCTTTGATGGCGTCTTGAAGGTATATTTTGCTCTATGACATCGAATTTCTCTATCTTTAGTTTGGTTGTGCCTAACCATCAACTTCTTGTCTTTTTGGAATGTAGGCCGGCATGACTCTGAGTGTGCTCGCCAAGGAGTACCGGAGGGGGGCCATGCAGGATGTTGAGGGTCTCCATGCTGAGCTTTCCAAGGCTAGGACTAAGATCCACGACCTCAAGGAGGAGCTTAACTCGGCTCGAGAGACGGTGAAGACGGCCAAGAAGGAGCTTGCTGATGCCCAGGAGGCCAGGACATCCCTCATTCAGGCCCTTGAGACTCAGCTCAAGGAGGCTAAGGAAGGGAAGGAGCTAATTGCTAAGGAGCTGAAGGAGAGGAAAGACGAGCTGTCCTAGATGAAGAGTGATCTTGATGAGGCTCGGAGGAAGGTGGAGCAAAGCTAGGAGGAGGTAATTGCTGAATGGAAGAAGTCTCCGGCTTGCGCTGATTTCCAATCTAAGATTGGATATGTGGCCTTTGAGGCGGGGATTGAGGATGCCCTGACTCATATGCGGGTTGCCTTTACTTATTTCGGTCTCCAGATTCGTACCCTAAGGTACGAGGCAAGATTAAGGATCTCGTTCGCGAGGCCGATGAGGAGGAGCAGAGGAAGGTGCTTGCTGAGGAGGGCATGACCCAGGAGTAGCCCCTTGCCTTGCTTTGATTGACTTCTCTTAGGATGTATTTTCTTTTTATGAGACTTGTGATATTTTTGTTGGAACTTTGAATCTCTAACTCGGCTTGTATATTTGCATCTTTAGCCTTTGCCTTTGTTTTTCTTATTTGAAGTAGATTTCATGTGCTCTTACTCCAGCTTGCTCATTCACCCCTAGGGGCCAAAAATAAGCCCCTAGGCTTTTCAAGTGACTTTGGTATGAACGAGGGCTAAACGAGCCTATGTTATTTTTGCAAGTACGTGATTTGTGTGAACATCCGGGGGCTAAACGAGCCCTAAGTTATAAATTAACTAAGTAAATGGACTAGGGGCTAGACGAGCCCCAATTTATGAGTGATAGGAGAGCTAGGCTATCCCTGCTTATTATAACAAAGTGAAACGATTTTGGGGATAACATAAGCCCCAAGTTATAAGAGTTATGCTTTTCCAACCTTTTTAAATTAGGCTGGGGGCTAAACGAGCCCCAAGTTATGAGTGATCTTTTGGCCAGGACTCTATCACAAATACTTGAGTATAGGTTAGCATCTTGCCCCAAACATTGGAACAAACTTTAGTGTTAGCGATATAAAAGTTTCAAAAATAAACTAAGTCAACAATAAATAACAAGGGCACAATAAATAAGGCAAACATCCCAACCGGGCGTTTTTCATTATATTAACAAAAAGATGAAAGTCATTACAATGATGCGCTATATAGAAGTTGATCTCCTAGCATCGGCTCCTATTGCCCCTAGGGCATCATTGTGATGAAGATGCTTTAGACATAAAACCGCCGAAGGTTGTCTGCATTCCATGGCCGAGGGAGGTCCTTGCCATCAGCGGTTTGTAAGCGAAAGGTTCCCGGGCGGACTACCTCTGTAATCTTGTAGGGCCCTTCCCAATTAGGGCTTAGCTTGCCCAATGTCGGGGGCTTGCCAGCAGCCTCACACTTTCTCAGCACCCAATCACCTTCAACCAGGGGCCTTGCCTTGACTCTTTTGTTGAAATAACGAGTTATCCTTTGCTTGTATGCTATAGAGCTAAGCAAATCATCTCCCCTTATCTCTGGGAGTAAGTCCAAGGCCAAGGGCTTTAGCTGGTCATTTCGGTCAGGGTTATAGAAGGTAACCCTTGGGGATGGAATCCGAACTTCCACGGGGAGTACTGCATCATTCCCATATACCAAGGCAAAAGGAGTTTGCCCCGTAGCTTCCTTGACTGTGGTATGAATGGACCATAAGATCCCGAGCAAGTCATCTACCTAAGACCCCTTCGTGCCTTCCAGCATTGTCTTCAACCCTTTCAATATTGTTTTATTTGCCGCCTCCGCTTGGCCATTTGTTTGGGGTCGACACACAGCCGAAAACCTTGTCTTGATCCCAAAACGCCCGCAATACTCTATAGTTGGCCCACTGTTGAATTGCCGGCAATTATTTGAGATTAAGATGTGGGGTACCCCAAAGCGAGTGATGATATATCTACAGATGAACTTTTGGACTTGCTTATCAGTTATTGTTGCCACCGGCTCAGCCTCAACCCACTTGGTGAAATAATCCACCGCTAATATCAGAAATTTCCTTTGTCCTGAGGCTATGGGGAATGGTCCTAGGATGTCCATGCCCCAACGATAAAAGGGTAGGACTGACTGAATACTTGTGAGTGCGTTAGCCGGAATATGGGGCATGTCAGCGAACCTTTGGCATTTTTCACACTTCTTGACAATTCTAGCAGCATCGTCCCTCAGGGTTGGCCAATAGAACCCAGCCCTTAGCGCCTTTCCAGCTATAGTCCTTCCACCCTGATGGCTACCGCATGCCCCTTCATGAATTTCTCTAAGTACATAATTTCCCTCCTCCGGGGAAATGCACTTAAGCAATGGATGAGTAAATGATTTTTTGTAGAGGATCCCCTCATGAAGTAAGAACCACTCACTCCGCTTTTTGATCATTTTGAAGTCAGGGGTGTCCTCGGGCAGCTCCCCCTTTAAGCATTGAATGATTTGATCCATCCAAGTTTCCCCTCTATCAATGTCCATCACAGCAGGCCTTTAGGTACTTGGTTTCTCTAACACTTCCCACATTATATTCCGGGGGTTATCCCCTCAGTCGAGCTTGCTAATCGGGCAAGAGCATCACCGTGCTGGTTCTCTAAGCGGGGAATGTGCCCGATTTCAAAGTTGTCAAACGATCTTGCCAAGCTTTTAGCCTTTTCAAAATAGGCTTTCATGTTCTCCTCCTTCACCTCGAATTCCTTTGTCATTTGCCCCACTATGAGCTGTGAGTCTGAGCATACTTGAACGAATTTTATCTTCATGAATTGGCACAAGTTTAGCCCCAAGATAACAGCCTCATACTCAGCTTCATTATTTAATGTATAAAAGGCAAACTTGACCGCATATTCAAACATCTCTCCCTCTGGTGAGATGATGACTAGCCCAGCTCCACTCCCGGCCTTACTAGACGACCCATCCACATAAAGAGCCCAAGGGGCGGAGGTGTCAATTGGAGTAGGCCTGTGAGCGCATTCAGCTATAAAGTCGGCTAAGGCTTGGGCCTTGATGGCCTTCCAGGGTTCAAACTCGATTCCGAAATCAGCTAACTGATTTGACCAATCCGTCATTCGGGATGAGTGATTTTTGCTCTCTAGCACTTTCTTGATTGGTTGGCTGGTGAGTACTTTGATCGGGTGTGCTTGAAAGTATGGCTTCAACTTCCTACTTGCCATCACTAAAGCGTATACCACCTTCTCTATGAGAGTGTATCGGGTCTCAGCCCCCCTTAGGGCATGGCTGACAAAATAGAGCGGTACTTGGCCTTCATCTATTTCAGCAACAAGGATCGCACTCTGGGCATATTCTGATATGGCCAAGTACACAAACAATGTCTCCCCGGGGAGGGGGCTAACAAGCTTTGGAGTGTCCATCAGATGTGCCTTCAGCTGCTGGAAAGCTTTCTCAACTTCTTCATCCCATAAGAACTTAGGCCTCTTGAGGGCCTTGAAGAAAGATAAACTTTTATCTGCTGACCGGGATAGGAAACTCCCCAATGCGGCTAAGCAGCCTGTAAGGCGTTTCACTTCCTTCACATTTCAGGGGGGATTCCATGTCAAGAATAGCTTGAATCTTATCGGGGTTGGCATCAATACCCCGCTGATCAACCATGAAGCCCAGACATTTTCCACCTTGCAACCCGAAGACACACTTGCTGGGGTTAAGCTTCATTTTATATTTTCTAAAGGTTGTGAAGGTTTCCCTTAGATCAACTATGTGGTTCGGGCTTTCCTTGCTTTTTACGATCATATCATCAACATAGGCCTCAACATGCCGACCTAGTTGCCCTTCAAAGATTTTGTTCATCAGACGCTGGTAGGTAGCCCCGGCGTTTTTCAGGCCGAAGGGCATCACATTATAGCAATACACCCCTTGGCTAGTGATAAAGGCTGTGTGGGCTTGATCCTTCTCTGACATGGGAATCTGATGATACCCTGCATTGGCATCCATGAAGCTTAGGTGGGCGTGACCAGCGGTCGATACCACCAACCTATCAATCTTAGGCAAAGGGTGATCATCCTTTGGGCATGCCTTGTTCAAATCTGTAAAATCCACATACATACGCCAAGAACCGTTGGGCTTCCTAACCAGCACCACATTGGATAACCACTCAGTGTATTGGCATTCTCGAATGAAACCCGCTTCGAGAAGCTTTTTAACCTCAGTGGCTGGGGCTTTGTTTCTCTCCGACCCAGCATGTCGGAGTTTTTGCTTGACGGGCTTGTACCCCTCCTTGATGTTCAGCTCATGAGTCATTACCTCGGGGTCTATGCCCGACATTTCATCTGCAGTAAAAGCGAAGATGTCTTTGTACTCTCTAAGTACTTGAATTATTTCTTTCTCTAGCTGGGGGTCCAAGTTCTTTCCCACCCTCACGGTCCGAGCGGGATCATCCCCTAAGGGTATGCTCTCATCTTCTTCAATAGGCCTAGGCTTACCGTATTGCTTTGGATTCTCAGCCATGTAAATTCTCTTGACCGGGTGCTGAGGTTCATCAATTTCCATGGCTTTCCTCTTGGCCCCCTTGTCCTCTTGATTGACAGAGCTCTCAGGTGACTTCAAGCTATGTATATAGCATTTTTTTTCCCTCAAACTAATCTCCAAATATCTTGCCCACCGATCCGTCATCAGTCTCAAATTGGAGGAGTAAGTGATAGGTTGAGATGGCAGCCTTAACCCTATTGAGAAGGGGTCGGCCAAGGATCATGTTGTATGGCAGAGGGGTATCCACAACTAAGAACGTGTGAACCAAGCTTCTCCCCTTGTTTTTTTCCCCCAAACGAACAGGAAGCTTGATCGTTCCCAAGGGGTACACATGATGCCCCCCCAAATCCCACTAAGGGTTTCTCAAGGGGTGTAAGGTCTCCCCTTCCAAAACGCATCTGCTCGATGCATTTCCATGTGATGATATCTGCTGAACTTCCACTATCTACTAAGATCTTCTTCACCTTAGCATTGGCCACCTTCATATGAATCACTAAGGGGTCATCATGAGGCCTTTGAATCTTTTTTCCTTTATCATCCCCAAATACCATGAAAGGGTCCTTCTGGGTAGATGAGGGAGTGCCAATATCATAGATGGGCTCTTCGAGCGACCACAAGTGAATTTTGCGTGCCCTGTTGGACAAACCCTCGGAGGCAAATCCTTAGGCTATGACATTGATGCTCAAGTTAGTGTCCGCTGAGCTATGGGCTTCTTGCACCTCCTTGGAAGCCTTTCTTTTCTTATCCTTCGGGGGGGACTTGAGAAATCTGTTAATCTTTCCTTCTTCAGCTAGCTTGTTGAGGGCTCTCTTAAGCTCCTTGCAGTTCCGGGTGGTATGACCACACTCCTTATGGTATTCACACCAAAGCTTCTCTTTCCTCTACTCTATTGGCGTGTTCATGGGGTTAGGCTTAAGAAGAATAGCCTTATGCTTTATGTCTAAATAGATCTCACGCCTATCAGCATTGTACTTAAGTCCTTCATCATCACTCTCAGCCCTCCTCGGCCTTCTATTCCTGTTGTCATGGTAATTATCTTCTTACTTCCTCTTCCCCTTGTTGTTTGCTACGGGCGTCTTGCACACCACACTAGCTTCAATGATCCTTTCAGCTCTTTCCATGGCCTCAGAGAAGGTGCTCACCTTGTCATGGACAAGTTCAAACTTCAGCTTGTTAGACTTGAGCCCAAAGACAAGGGTTGTGAAAGCAACGTTGTCTTGGAGGTCGGGGATGAGCTGAGACTCAGTGTTGAACCTCTTGATGTAGTCCTTAAGACTTTCATTCTCCCCTTGCTTCACCTTCATCAAATGAGTGCTAGTCTTTATTTGCCTACTCCCAGCGATGAAGTGCTTTTTAAACTGAGTGGCTAACATGTCAAACGTTCTTATGCTCCCGGGGGTAAGGTTGTTAAACCATGTCTTAGTTATTCCCCTGAGGGTAGTAGGGAAGAACCTACACCATGAGGCCTCACACCCAGTTTGGACTCCCATCTGTGCTTTGTAAGCGTTCAGATGGTCCGTCGGGTCCGTCTTTCCATCATAAGGGTCCAATGTAGGGATCTTGACCTTGGGAGGAATAGGGGTATTCATTATCACCTGGCTGAAGGGGATGATGTTCTTGACAATCCCGAGCATCCGTGGCCTGGGGGAGGAAGGACGCTCGGGGCTTTTGCTTACTAAACGAGCGGGCTGATCGGTTCCTCTTCTTGGTCTGGAGGTAGCTGAGTGAATCATGCTATCTCGGTACCTTGTTGACCCATGCCGAGAGTGAAATCTAGTTCGACCTCTCTGGGGGTAATTATTTTCCTTGGAGTTCTCCCTCTTGGAGTTGATTATCTCTCGGGCATCTAGAGTGCCATCCTTCAGCCTTCGGTCATTGATGATGTCTCTAGCATCTCTTGGGCTGCTTGGCTGCCTTGTCTCCCGCTGGGGGTCATGGGACTGATTAGGCTGAGAGCAACGAGATGTTTGTTGCTGAGGCCGAGAGGAGGCTTGATGGAGATGAGACACGTGAGGCGGAGGATTAGGCTCTGGAGCGCTCCCCTGCCTGCCTTGCCCCACCCCTTGGTTGATAAGTGCCCTGAGGCTTTCCTCCAAATTTCTATTGATCTGGGCTGCCAGCTGGTCCAAGTCTCGGCGAGTGATCACCTGGGGGCTGTTAACTTCTCTCTCAGGTTCACTACGAGCCCTAGGTATAATCTCCTCGACTTTGTGAGGATTCCTAGCCGAGAGAATTGGAGCTAGCCTAGTAGCATCTTGATGAGTGCTGCGGGGACGCCTAGTGTTCACCATGACTTTTTGTTAGTTATCCCCACAGACGGCGCCACCTGTTTCTGGATACAGAATGCTCCTGGGATTCTTAGGGTAGTAAGGGTAATCAAGATGTTCTAGAGCTATGTCCAATGAATGCCCGAATTTCCCTCAGTTATGCCTTGCTGTCCGAGAGCTAGGCCTGCAAAAGAGAAAGAAGGTCAACTGCCCCGGGGGTGTGACCCGAGAAAGCCGCTCCGATGCTTAAGTCAGCGAATGTACTTTCTAGAGAAAGAAAGTAGAGAGAGAGAGAAAGTAGAGCGAGATGATTAGAGAATTAGGAAAAAGTTACCATCATCAATGATTGGAGAGCTATTTATAAATGTACTTTCCGGTGGCAGAAGTTGTACTTAATTGGACAGATTAGGGGTAAATCCGTAGTTTGCTCTGACTAATGATGTGCTGGTTCATGGAGGGGTATTTTCGTAATTCCAGGTCACTAGGCTTAGGACAATGGACTAGGCCCAAACAAAATCCAATACGGTTTTATCTGCTCTAACATGCCCAGTAATTGTTAATTAGGTAAAATAATTTGAATTAGATTTAGATGTACAATAAGTTCTAATATATAGTAACCACATTTAATAAGCTCTAATAAAACAACTTCTTATAAAATCCAATGAAACTATAAGAAAATTAAGCTTAATAAACTATACTCAAGTCCAATTGAATCCCTTACACTCATTTTCTAACTTGTAAACAAAATCCACCACAAAATAATAAAAGAAACAAATGAAGTAATAAGTAAAAAAAAAATTACTTTTCTTCTCAAAAAATAGTACTAGGTTAAGGTATACCTATTGCCTAGGTGGTTGTGTGATTATAAGTGTAGGCGTCGTTTGAAGCGCGCCTACGTTAAAGCATGTTGTGAATATGCTTGGCACTCTTAGAAAGTAGGAATTGACATATACAATTAGGGACAACGATTAGGGACAAAGAAAGTAGGGAGCCGACAACAAATTTTTAAGGAACTTGTAACCGTTCACGGATCATTATAAGGCAACCACGAGAAAGGGACAACGATAAGCAACAATGATTGACCCGTGAAGGTTACACCACATTCATAATCCATGAGATTACTAACTCCATATGGTTCGGACCCACGAAAGGAGGAACAGGGATGATGGTACGAAGTGAGTCATGGAGTCACATTCGCCCGTATTGGCTTCTACTCGATTCTTATAGTGAAAAGTGATTTCTGCGATCTCAAAGGAATGCAAACAAAATATTCAATTCGCTCCAAACTATTATTAGACTAAATTGGTTGTATATTAATAAAACACATAATTCTAAAATATTAGTGATCACTTGATTTAATAACAAGATTAAAAAGGAACCTAAACCCGTCGTCCAAATTATCTTATTAGGCATGATTTTCAATTACATATTCCCTTTAAACATGTAATATGGTGATTATAAATATATAATAGAATAAACATTAATATTTGGAAGCAATTTAACAATAATAGCGTTAGTCAAATCAGATGTAAATTAACCTATTCATGATACTAGCAACAAGAATAAAAATAAGAGTAATTAAGTGATTAATTACTCACTTTTCGCGTTTCCTTGAATTGCTACATCATGAATAAACTGTTAGTAACTTCAATAAATATAAATCAAATTGAAATTAAATTAAATAACAGTAGAGTTGATTTGGTCCAAACCCTCAATTATTTGTACCTTTCACACCTTGGTTTAAGGACGAAACCTCGGGTCGAGTATGGACTCCTTGGAGTGCTTAGGGGAAGAATGGTGTAATTTGGTATATAGGTTTAAGGCTTAGAATATGAGAAAGAGAGAGAAGAGAATGATGTTTGGTGTAAAAGAGAGGAAGAGAGAATGATTTGATGCCCCGAACTACAGAAAGGAGGGGGGTATTTAAAGGGAAAATGAGTAGAGGGAACACACGGAACCCTAAAAAGATAAAAACCCTAAAAAAGGTTGCTGCGACATGGAAAAAACTGTCGTGACACGGCAAAATGTGTCGTAACACGGGAAACTCTTGTGTGACGCGACATACTCTAGAGTGACATGAGAAATATTTGACCTACGGGAGTAAAAACGCGTGGAGGGTTTACGTGGAAAAGACACAAGAAAATTCCGTGACAGGGCACACGTACCGTGACACGGCAGTGTCCACCGTGGCACGGTATAGTACACTGTGTCACGGTAAAAAAGTGCGTGAGAAAACGCAGAAATTACACCGAAAAAGCACCGTGACACGGTGAGAAATACCGTGTCACGACAATAGGTACTGCGTCACGGCAACAGGTACCGTGCCACGGTGCTTTTTCACGGAAAAAAAAAACATTCAAAATAGCACCGTGACACGTTGTAAATTACCATGTCACGGCAGTACGACAACAGTCACCGTGCCACGTCATTAGGCGCCGTGACACGGTGCTTTTACACTGTGCGCGGTAATTCCAGTTTTTCACACGTTTTTAAAATCATCATAACTTTTGATCCGTAACTCGAAATAAGGCATATAATATATCATTGGAAATCTTATCAAGTCCACTTTACAACCAAATTAGAATCATGTCAAAAATATTTTATATTTTAAGATATGGTTGTTTTAGTAGAAGGGTGTCGGTTTTGGGCTGAGTTTAGTTTCGCTCATATCTTCTTCGTTTTAAATCGGAATTGGGCTTATGATATATGGTTGGAAGGCTTCTTTCGAGGCCTATCCAACCAAATAATAATTGTATCAAAATTATTTGGCCATAAAATCAGTTTCTCTCAATTTTGTGATGTGGACACGAAAAGAAGCTATGGTTTAGGGAAATGAGGTAGAAAATGGGTTGCTTTATGAAATGTATTGAATAGAAC